CACCCCACCCCACCCCATCCACATATACACATCCGTACACACGCCACCCCCATCCCCAGCGACTGGGTCTCCACCTGGTCCTGTGTAGAATACACCTAGCAGGAGATCCAGGCAAAGAGGCAAGGTAAGGGCAAGCAAAAGGAACCACAGACAATCGGGGGGGCATGCATTTCGGGCATCGACCGCCGGCGGCATGTGCACCCGAACCGCTGACAGGAAGTCCGCGCACCCCGGATCAGTCGCTGGACAGGAAGTCCTCCAGCTGCGAAAGGGGCGGCTCGCTGGAGAGAAGTTGTGAAATGGAAGAGGGATCGAAGCCGTCGGCCGCCGGGAGGGAGTCCAGGCCAGCAGCCGAGGAGAAGGTGGGCGGCGCGCCCGAACTCCGGGCTGTCCGATAGAAGGCATCCGGGATGTCGTCCTCCGAGTCGGCGCCGACAGGCCGACCGCCCGGGGCCACGGCCGCCGGAGTGGCCCCCGGAGTGGCCCCCGGCCGAGCAAGCAACGAAGTCAGCCGGCCAACATGTGCCGGAGCCGCGGCCCCCAGGAAGGAGGGCTGAGAGAAGGGCGCGCTAAGGGTGTCCTGCTGGGTGGGCAGGGCGCCGGGGCTGTGTGCCTGAGCGCCGGGCTCCGACTTGATCGCCGGTGCCAGGCGGGCCTGCTTGGCGGGTGGCGGGGCAGCGGGCGCGGCAGCGGTGCCGGTGCCGGTGCCGGTGCCGGCACCGGCCGTGGCAGCTGTGGTGGCCCTCGCGCGCCGGCGCCCCGTACTCCGGGGAACATAGTCCTCGAGGTCCTCCTCGGACATGATGTCAACATCGGACTCGAGCTCGGACTCGGAGGCCGGACGAACGGCGGACCGGCGGGCGGGGGGTCGCCGCGCCGGGCCCCCGGTGGCTGATGCCTTTGAAGGGGGCGCTGCCGAGGCCGCCCTCGAGGGCCCGGGGGAGGCCCGGCCCTTCCGCGGCCGGGAGCCGGCCACTACCGCCCGGGGGGGCACACTCCCAAACCCCACCTCCGGCGCGCCCGCGTCACCGGGCAGCAAAGCCGCCCGGCCGAGAGGGTGTAGATCGGACACAACCGGCCGATCGAAGACGGCCGCCTGCTCGGCCGACTCAAGTGACTCGGCCAGTGCCAATGGTGTGACTGTCCCCTCGCGGAAGCCATCCGGGTCGCGGCGATACTGATCGAAGCGGCTGCGTTTGGCATGTTGAAGCTGCGGTGGCCCGGGGGAGGGGGGGGGGCATGCGCCGCCGCCTCTTGGCGCTCATCCGGGA